CCCTGTTTGTGAAGCAATGCCACTTCACTGATTTTTTCAACAATAGAAATTATTTCAGCAAATGCATTTATTCTGCATTTGCTGAAAAATACAGAGTATATTAGTAGTATATACTTAGCATATACGTATATCTAATCAAACTCTCTTGATGCATTTAAATCAGCAATAAAAAATATTAAGTTGAATGTAGGTATAAGCAGCAGTAATATGATTGACTCTGCAGCTGCTTTATACTGTATGAAAAGCGTTTCCTTCAGGTCATTAAATCCCTGCAGCCATATAAAGGCAGAAGGACACACATGTTAATTAATCTGCAGACTCCAGCTCTTTAATCCTGTGCTTCATGGAACACATTTCCAATTTTGATTTTTTTTTCAGTTTTCAGCCTCTTTATCTTTACCTCACTATTCTGATACCATTAAATCACATTTTGAAATATGATAAGATGTTTACATTGATAAATGCAAACTTATTTATTTAAGTCATATATTTATCAACTGAATAGATAAAAAAATAGCAACATCCTAATGGTTTCTTTTATTTCTGCATTGATTTGTTAATTTAAAGGACTCACTCAGCTCAATGCATGGATGTTAGCAATAGAGGAGGACACGTTTGTGTAGACGACTAAGGCATTTAGCATATGTATTGGCTGTTATAGACCTAACAGAAAAAATGTAACCAGTACTATCTGTGCTGCCACAATTTATATAAACTGGTCCTTTAAATATCATGCTAGAGAAGAACGGGTTAAACATGCTGTTAACTACTGTTCTCCCTTTACTGTAAATTGACCTCAATTATGCAAATATTTCAAATAGATTGACACAGCTTTCAGAAATAAGGATCATCAGAGCCCCAGGCATCACATCGTTTTGGTGTTTTACCTGTGTGTGTGTTTGTGTGTCTTACTTCATTGTAAGGTTAGTTAAGGGATTGAGAATAACTGGAGATTCAACTACAGCAAAATTGAAGCAGATATATATGTATATGTTTTCATCTAGGTTTGTTTGATTGTTAACAGGATTACACAAAAACTAAAAAAAACCGATTTCCACAAAACTTGGTTGAATGTTGAGGAATGGGTCAGGGAATAACCCATTTCATTTTGTGCAGATTAGGATAAGGGGCGGATCCTTAACAATGCCAATAAGGAGGCGATGGTTGATGTTTTAAGCAAAATCCCAGGGAATAATTTAGGAAACAAGAAAAAAGTCAGACATATCTAGGGGACTGATATTGTTTAGTCTTTGAAATTTAGTGACGCTTGTTGGAATTGGACTTTAAGCAGGTATGCACTCTACTGAGTGCTATTCTCGTTTCCTTTAGAAATCATGTGCTGACAGCACGTCTAGGCTGGCAAATAGCAAATATTCAATCTTACACAGTGGGAATCTTTACAGTAAATCCACACAGCAGATGACAACACGATGACACTCACATTTGCATGCAAACATAACAGTCCCTTCTGCTTTTATTTGACACTGACATGACCACTGCTTGCCATCAAAGCCATGTATGTGCATTAGAACAATCTGTGAAAAGGATTTGATATAAACAACAGCCATAAATCATGGTGTATCAGTGAGTTACAAGGAGGAGCCAATGTCTTCTGACACAAAAAGGAATTATGTTACCTCGACATAGCAAATAATCAAGTAGCTGTAGCCATCATTACAAGAGAAGTTGTGCTGAATAGAAACAAACAGAACAACTTGTTGCTTTCTGGAGGCTGCTAATCATCTGTTACACCTCCTTACTACTTGTGATTCAGTGGTAAAAATGTCTTCTTGATTGTCACTACACATGCAGTGTGCAGCATCATCTTTGAAATTCAATCCCAGTGTAAGTTTAAGCATAATGCAGAAACAATGCTGTAACGAGGTAAACAGCGCGTGATTACTGCATATTAAACACGGCTTGGAATTTACAAACAGCAAAAATCAAAGTAGGCATCTTTATCAAACAAACACCTCTCTTCCACAGCCATCTTTCTGTTCAGTTTGAATGCACTGTAAACAGACTAGACAAGGCACAAACAGAAAATTAGATAAAAATGACAAATGTCTTTCCTCGTCGGGCAGCAGAAAATTTGATTTAACAATTTCATATATCAATATCTCCATGGAAGCATTATCTGCTTTCAAGTAAATGTACAAATCCTTTACATTTTTTTTTATAACATATTTGATGTTAAGAAATGCTCTCTCTCTTTAATGGCACCAGTGGCTGTAAATAAAGACGCTCTCCACTGCCTCCCACTCTACAAAAGCTAAAGCCGCAATATTCTCCATATGGTTGCCGCCCTCTCGCATTGGTGAGGTCATTGGGAGCCAGAGTCCGCACAATAGTAATTGCAGAGTGGAGCCATGTTATTGAGGCCCCGCCGATATCAAACTCACCGATCAATCATGACATTTCAACATGCTTTTTTTAGCATTAAATCAAATATTTAGACCAACCTTATCAGTAACATGAACACTTCAGCATACATCAGAATGATGAACTACTAAAAATGACAGAAACCATCTTCACAAAAATGTATTTTGTCATGTTTTTGACTTTTTAGTTTGGTCCATGTTCCATCTGCTAACATGAAGGAGGGGGGGGGGGATTATGACCTATACTGCAGACAGCCACAAGGGGGCAATCAAGATATTTTGGCTTCAGTTTTGGGGATCAGTCATGTAATCCCTCTTATATACAGTCTAAGATTGGCTCTTTATAAAGCCAGTGGCTGTCAGCTGATAGCTAACATGGATAAGCCTTGACCCAAGATACACAAATACACGGCCTTGATACAGATATAGGTAACTACACCTCAGAGAAACATCTGGGTTTGCTTGGGTTTATGTGACTCAGCAATTTCTGGGTAGTTGTTGATTTTATATCAACAACTTGTTTCACCACAAAAAGAAACCCCTGAATAAATGTCTGAGTTTGCTCTCTGGTGCTGTGCCCTGATACATGCTCACTTTCATAGACTCATTTAGTAGAGCCTGAATAGAGAAGTAGAGAATGATCAAATTTACATCAGTGACATATGAAGGTCTCTTAGTGCATTAAACATTAACGATGGTCGTGCTGCGATGGAACACTTCTGTAAGCTACACACGGCATACAAATACCAACACGTAGAGGGAAAAATACTGTATGTGATCGATATCAAACACACTTTGTGATCAATGTAGAAATTAATTGGGAGTGCCACATGGAGCAGAGTGCTAAGCTGTCAGATTCTGTCTAACAGCTGTTGAGCTGGTGTCGGCTTTGAGTCAAACTGGCTGCACTGAGAGCTTTATTTTCCTCCATCACGGGTTCTTTATATTACACATCTCTTTTAGACCTGAACTCTGTTTCAGCTGCAGGGGTGTCAGCTTTGGTTTCTCTTTGCCTCTGTACGTCTTATTGAGTTTTCGTAATTAATTCAGTGCTTCATCACTGATCAATGTGTTATCACTGTTTTATCTTGACAATTGAGCAATTGCCTAACCACTCTTTTTTCCCTCTGAACAGCAGGCCCCTGAGGTTTACTGGGAGTAAAAAAGCCTTGAAAGGCAGCCCACAATTTACACCTCTCGGATCCAGCCGGCCGAGTCCCAGCTCCATTTATTTATAGTGAGTGTTTCGGTGAGGTTGCGTACAGTGAGAGAAAAAGCTTTTGATCTTAAATTGAGGATGCCTTCCAGATCTTGGGAAGGAAGGACACTAGTCAATATTTGGCCCGGGGTTATTTAATTTGGACAGGGAGTTTGATTCATACATTAAAAATTCCAATTACCCTGTCAAGAGTTGAGCGCGCCCAGAGGAGGCTGTTTTAATCATACAGCTTTATCAAACTCTTTAAATTGAGTTTAACATGGACAGGATCATACATTCTGCCTCGGGGAAGGTTATATCGCTTAATTTGTTGTAAATAGTAAACATTTCAAAAATCCATGTTCAACTAGAGTTACTTATATTGAGGAAATACTGATCAGTTATTTTCCTATGATCTCTTCCCTTCCTTTTGCGGAACCAAGGTAATAAATGTTTTACGATGTGTTTATGGAATACATTTTGACATCATTTTATATGACAATTCTACACATTGCTGTTCTTCTAATCAGCTATCAAAATAACTGGTCATTATCACAGACAACATTTGCTTAATTCCCACATTTGTATGCTTTTTATGTTCACCTGCACTGATGGGTAGGTGCTATTCCGTTTCTTCTGTAAAATAATGTTGTGGTCAGGTATAAATCTAGCATATGTCTGATCTGCAGGTGGTCACAGCTGGACCTCCTGTCTTGCCATTCCTGAATCTATTTCACAAAGATATTACAGAGATCTGAGCTGCTGTCAGATATTTCCCATTCCGTCTTATCAGTGGAGGGAATGATGTCTGGCATGGCAAACAAAGCATGTGTAAAGTCCCTAAATAAAGCATGAAATTGACAGGATGCCTGTGTAAGTGATGGCGCCTCAGAGCCACAGGCCCCTCCAGACGAAGACAGGTACAGCTGCCCACCTCAACACTGGATACGAATCACTCGGACTCCTATTAAAGTGGCCGGCACTCCGAGTCAACAGTTTTAATGCAGAAAATGACTTCATTCATTTTCCATTAAAAGAGCCATATTTTTAAAAATCTGCCTACATAAAGTGGTGCTTATTTACCTGCTTCTCCACACATGAATTTGCATACATTGGGCCAAGGAAGAGGAAGAACTTTCCCCATTTTAGACATTTGGTCATGGTGATGTTCAGGTGTGGCATAAAAAGGAATAAGCAATTTATTTCATGAAACGTCAGCTTTAAGAAGCCAGCTTAAAAATCTAAACACGTAGCCAACCTGAAGATTATTTGATGACTGACGTGTGTGTGTGTGTGTGTTGATGAGCATTCATGTGTGCGTGTGTTGGTGTTCTGGGGAATGTGTGTCTGATTGCGCTGCTTGAGAGTGCATGACAGAAATCAGCGGCGACACTGATATTTAAAGAAAGCCTTTAACTCACCAGGGAACTGGTAGCTGTAGCTGGGTGCGAATCCAGTGTATCCACGGCCGTACGTCGCCACAATGTTAGGGTAACCTTTGATACAGAAGAGAAAGATTACAAAGAGGTTAGAGGACATCTAGAAATAATGTACATGTAGAGATGTGATACCAATAAAGCACAAAGACTCAGAGAGGCAAACACAGGGCAATAGCTGATTCTGAACCCTTAGAGAGGGAAACAAGCCTTGGAAAGCTGCCTTTAAAACTCTGGGGAATACACACAAGTAAAGTGTTCACATTTTATCAAGAAAATTCTGATGTTATTTAATTAACTAGAATTCCTGCACAGTTGTATGCCTTCGCCAACAAGTGCAGTTTCTAAGACTATATTTACTTACTTTTTTCCAGATTCATATAATGTCATATAAAGTCACTGTGACCTTTACCTTTGACAACTAATACATAATCACTTTATCTTTGAGTCAGTTGAAAGTTGAGGAAATTCCCTCAAGTAGTTTTGAAATATCACATTCAACAGGCCAAAGACACATTTTTTTAAGCCAACGTGACCTTGACCTTTGACCACTGAAATGTAATCAATTTATAAGTAAGTCCAAGTGAACAGTGCCAGATGTAATGAAATTCCCTCCAGCAGTCCTTATATGTCACATTCACAGTAACATGAGGTCACTTGACCTTTGACCTCCAGGCACCAATATCTAGTCTCAGTTCATCTTTGAGTCTAAGTAAATGTTTGTACCAAATCTGAGGACATTCCCTCAAGTTGGTCTTAATATATCATGTTCAAGAAAAACATTATTTGTGAGGCCACAGTGACCTTGACCTTGATCTTTGGCCACCAAATTCTGTTCAGGTCATCCTTGAGTCTAAGTAAATGTTTGTACAAAATTTAAGGAATTTCCCTCAAGGCTCTTGAGATATGGGAATGGGACAGACGGATAGACAACCTGAAAAACATAATGTCTCTGGTACTGGCTGTCACCACCTCCTCTCTTTTTGTTCTAGAATGGTACTCAGTAGAGCACGTAACTCTGCCAAGGCCCAGCATTCGCTTCACAAAGCCACATTTAAATTAAATAGATCTGGATTTTTATTTGGATCTGCACCAAAATCATCAAGATTCATAAATAATTTTCAGAGAAGTCAATGAAAATATTGAAAATCCAGATATGCACCAAACTTAAATGGTGTTCCCTGATATGTACCGTTTACTTCTACAAATTTGGAAATCTGTTCCGCTGTTTTCGTATAATTCTGCTAACAAAAAAACATTTAAACAACAAACAAACAATCCAAATTAAACGTACATAAGCCGAAACTTGTTAGAAATTAACTATCACACTAGGAAATTACACTTATCATAGAAAGTCTTGGGCACATTATGTGTCACGCCTTTTTGAAAAGCTGCAATAAGAGGCAATTTATTTTCATGTTTCACGGCTAACAGAGAGGCAGCGGGTAGTTATAACTGAAGGGTTAAACAAACAACAAACAATTCCACTGGATTACATTAACCTATTATCTTGATAAGGCTGCTCTTGTTAGTCCTGCAGGACCTTGTTTTAAAGGTGCAGCTGCTTCACGCAATATTAGTAATCAATATAGGGAGTGAAATGTTTATTATAATCTAAAAGGCTAAAGGTCAAAGCTATAAAAAAATTGGGGGCTAGATGGTGAAATTATCTTCTTTCCTGAGTAGTGATTTAGATTGTGCATAGCTGCTCATATTAAACATAATCTTGCTTTAAACTAAGCAATTTACCCCATCATGGATCAATAAACTGTGTCATTATATTTAAACACATTTAAGGTATGTCAACAGGAGCCTAGGAGCACCACCTAATTGACAGTTCCATCTTCATGCATTCTTGGGTTACTTCTACACTGTGGCTGGGTATCAAGGACTGGCAAATACTTGAAAAGCAAAGCATTAAGCTCCTGAACAAACAGCGCTGCTCTTGGTTCTTTAGCCGTCTAATTCATTTCCATTTTTGTACTCAACCATAAGCTCTGAGGCATTTTTACAGCTCAGTGTAATAACACTTTATGGTGGGTGCCTTGAAATGACGCGACCGCCTGTTTATGTTCTGTGAATCTTCAGCATGGCAGAAAGGTTCATGTGTTAATATGTCTAGATGCAATTTGTTAAAAAAGATGCCACGGGCGAGGAGGTGATAGCTGCTACATTTGCACCTCCAGCACAGCGTTCACATGTGGTTTGCTGTGTTTTCTTTACTGGCTGAAACAAGGTTTGACCAGTAATTAACCCGTTATCTGTAGTAGTTATCTCAACTGTTACCAAGGCAACAAATACTCTGTGGGAATCATAAGCAAGCAGTAAATATGTTCAAATCCTCAACAGAAACAACCTCAGTCTATGTGAGGACAGAAGCATCAAGAGAAAACTATTATTTCACTGTTTTATTGAGTCATTTTTACATAATGTCCATTTTTATAATGTACAAATAGTAATTGTGTATTTATTTTATTTATCTGCTTCATCTGACTATTTGTCCCTTGAAAAGGAGCAATCAGTAATATTTCATAATACAGAATTACATAAATGAGTGGTGTATTAAAAGAGAGAATGGACAACCCGTCCATTCTCTCTTTTAGTATATAGTATATGAGTATAGTATAGTATATGAGCTTGTTTTAATGTTGTGTTTACAAAAACTACTGATGCAAGCAAATTAAAAGCAACAAAATAAATGTATAATAATATATATATTTATATATATATCAGAATGGAATGAGTAATTATCTATGTAGTTCATCTGTAATTAAATAAACTAAACTTGCACAGGATTGCAAATGTAGTCATCTGTAAACTATGAGTGTGTCTTTGGGCCATTGTAGGGACAAAAAAAGGGCAGTTATATTCTAAGAAAAAAAATCCTGATGAGGTTTTGTGCACAGATGTTGGTTACATCTACCGACACTATTCACTGTGGAACCTTTATAAGCTTGAGGATCAGGATAACCTCCTGTCTGCCTGTTTACTTGCTCGACTCTTGCCTGCCACGCTCGCCACACAACCCACCTCTCCATAAACAAGCTCATCTCCGTTTTCCAGCCTCACTCACCCCCTTGCCTCGTCAGACTGCTCCCCCGGCTCATTCTCCCACCCACTGGCCAGTCATCCAAACCTCCTCACAGCCCATCCTTGTTTGGCCCCTTCGCGCTAACCAACTTCCCTTCTTTGCCCCCCCAATAAATCAGTTTATCACTTGAACCTGTGTTCCACAGTTATCCATTAGCACAGAACAGATTCTAGGATAAAATCAAAGTAAACTTGCTTTGCACTGTAGGTGGTTACTTGACAGTGACGGAGTATCAGGACCACTTAAAGGGACTTCAAGAATAAAATCGTAATTTTAAAAGAATGAAGTTATCATTTTAGAGTAAATGTTGTCTGCCTGTTACCTGTGTTAAAATAAACATCTTGTTAAGCTATGATAATAAATGTTTGGTAGTGGTCATAGTTGGTTACATGTGATATTTAAATGGGTTTTCATAGTTTCACAAAAAACAATGAGACTAGAACGAGAATGGATCCAGAACGAGTGGAACCAAGCAACTTCTCTTTGCTGCTTATTACATAAAACAACATATTTTCTTTCTTTGATTTTTTTGAACTTTCTTTTCTCAAAATCTCCAAAAACAATTTTTCTTCAATATGGCACCAAAACTCTGTTGTTCTTGACAAAAGAAATCACAATTCTTATTGTCACAGTATTGTGACGACTGTGGCAGATTTTCTCTTTGCCCATTTATGGCTTAATAATTTCAAAGAATATGAGTTATTTCCCTCTTGCAATTCTGCGACTTTTCCCACAGTATGCAGTAAACCAAAGTCAAAGTAAGAACGTACAGACTTGGTTAGAAGCTGTACAGTCCCTGGGTGGTGGCAGAGTTGCAACAGGACCCAAAGAGGACCCAGTGTCATTAGAAAAATTTAAGAGTAGCAGATGTATTGTTCATCTGCTGTCATGATTCTTATTACAACCACAGACCTACCAGTTAATTAGCTGGACAGTTTTCAGACAGAAGCAGCTGTGGGCAACATATTGAGAAACAGGGTGTGAGGGAGCAGGCGGATAGGAAGTGGAACGCAGACAAAACAAGAAATCTGAGTATAGGGTGGGTGGGTGGCAGAGCCTGTCTGTGAGTCAGTGAGAATTTGAGCACCATAAGAGGGTAATATAAACATAATTAACCCTCTAATTATGGTATATGTCTCACTCTTTATCTGTTTTCCTCAAGCTATTATCACCTTCAACCATAAATCTGTGCTAAATTACCTAATAAGAGGAAGTCCTTTAGGCCAGGAATGAATCACAGCAGCCAACCTTGATAACACTTTCTTCATTGTGTGTAAGCGACACCTCAGAGACTGACCTCTGGAACATCTTTCAGGCCTCAGTGTCCTCGGCTCTCGTTAGCTACGTACCAGCCTGATAAATTACCCTCTGAATGTCTACATTGTAAATTTTGGGGGCTGCGAATTCCTACGGACGCTGATGACTAATACTATAAAGGACGGGAAAAGCTAACAGAGCAATGCATACACTGTATCACATTGCAGCTCTGGAGCAAGTACAGAGAAAGATATTTACACCACAGATGGTGTGTATGCACATGTATGCTTGGGTCTACAGAATGAAGGTGTCAAAACATATTTTGCATGCATGCATATTTGTGTGAGGGTGTGCGTGAGCGTATGTAGGCTTTGTGCGCGTATGTGTTCGTGAGTGTGTGTAAATGTGGGCATGTGTGTAGATGCTCTGTTCTGTATGCCTCAGAGCCTGTGCCAGCTGGAATCAGAAAGGTTGACCTTGGTCATAAATATCTAATCAGTGTTTGCTGTCCATGAAAAAGTTCAATTTATTCCTGACCCAATGGGAAAATGCCTCTCCCAGACCCTCTCCACTCTCGCGCAGACAAAAAAGAAATGCAACTCAGATAGGCGGTGAGGGGGGTCTGCTGTGGGATGAAGCAGGACTGAGGCTACACCAGAGGAAAAAAATAAATAAATAAATAAAAATCCTCATTAGGTGCTGATGAGAAGTCATCACCAGGAAGCTACAGATGGATAGCTTTCACAAACCCCCTCACTGTTTGTTTGTCTGAAAGGAACTGTGATGTGATACAATGAAAAGCTATCACGGACCACAAAATATTGGATATTATGTGTTTGATACTGTCTTACTGTCAAACCGAAATTGTCTTCGATGAAGCAGCTCCTTACACTCCCTTTTTTTCTGGAACAGCAAAAAAACCCATTTTCCTGTCGTCTGATGTACTACATTAGAATGGGTTTTTACAGGATGACTATAAATGAGGAATTTGCAACCACATGTGTATATCAAGTGTGTGAGGGGAGAGCTACGGAGAGGAATACAAAAGAGTTGGGAAAGTGGATTAAGATACATGTTAAGTTAAGATTCTATCTCATAAAATGCTTCTTATGTGCGCATCGATGAATACTTTGAAACAAGAGAGTGGGAGGAAAGAAAAAAGAAAGAGGGAGCTGCGCTGCTATCTTTTGTACCATTCCGCTAAATGAAGCTTGCCATTGTGTCTGGCCTGGTGGCGGCCTCTTAGTGCTCCTATTTGCCTTATTAATATTCATGCTAATGTATCTATTTTATGGCTCAACAGTTCTGATTCACTTTAAAATCAATTATCCATCTGGTACACCCATACCTCGCCCCAGCTCAAATGTGTATTAATTTCAGCAAACATACATCGGGCACAACACAATAAAGATAAATGCCTCGATTAGAGGCAGTAAACAAAGGAGCTAGGGATGGCTTTAATGAGATTTGGCACAAAAGGAGCTTACACTTTCTTAAATAATGAGCCTAGGGTCCCTTTTTCCAAATGCAAATTATATAAAGGAATGTTTCGCCGTCCTTGTTCCAATTTCATTTAGATAAGAGTGTCTCCAAACAAGTTGGCTGTTAATATTCTCACATGAGCACATCACTGCCTTCCTGCCTGCCATCTCCCAATGGAGGGGAAGAGTGCTCTCCTCCTCGCAGACACATTAGACTGTAATAAGTTCTGAAAAGTTCACTGTGCTTGTTAAATACTTCTAACAGATGAGATGGAACCGGGAGCGATGGAGATAGAGCTGACAGAAGCGCTCGGCCAGCCTTATCAACCCTTTTGCCACAAACAGCTGTATAATCGGTCTCGTGGAAAGGTCAAGCCTGCAATAACCCGGACAGTTTGTGTGACTGGATGAAGATATATGGATAGACGTATAAGCAACCGTATTAACAGGTAACTGGTTTCAATGTTGTTGCTATATTCGATTTAATCAAGCTTTGAAGCGATTGGAAATAATGTCTACAACTAAAACAGTTTTAAATCACTGGGCTGACGGTTCAGAATGACCTCTCTCAAAACAGGCCAGGTATACACCAATGAGCCACAGCATTAAAACCTGTGTTGATGCTATAGGTAACCATGGTATACTGCATGTAAAGACAGACAAATAGATGGATTAATAACATCCACAGTTGGATTATACTAGGGTTACTGTTTTCCTGATGATGAGTTTAACCGTTTCAATCTTTAATTCCCGTAATTACCATGGTTATTTGGTTGATACTGTCCAAAACGAGCGAGAATGAGTGCACTGAAAATAGTTTTCTTACCAGACAGTGTTAGAGAAGTGACTGCTGTTTAAAACAGTTAATTTGCTTCTTCTGTTTGATTTTCCAGTGTAAATATGACATCATTATTTGTATTTGTCTGAATTTCAGTAAATCATTGAACTAAAGTCCTGAGTCTGTTAGTCTACTTTGCTGCCAGGGGGAAATAAACAATGGAAAATGCAGCTAATTACTTTGCTGTCTTCAGCATTATCATGATATCTGAAATTACTTCTTTAGCAAGCTAAAGCCTTCTTTCTTCAATCTTAATGTTGTATATTTAATATTTTGGTGTTATTATTGATAATATGGTGCTATAATAAATATACAATACCACAATAATACTGTGATTATTTTGGTCACTATAATCACAATACATTTTCACACGTTTCATCTCCAGATTGTAGATGACTAGTTTACTGTCCACTTAATTTCCCTTGTTTAAAAAAACGTGGTCCTCAATAGTTGGTCAAATCCACTTGCTCACTATCCATTATTTAAAAAGAAACACGAACCAAGCAACATGCCGTCAACGTTCACAGGCGCTTCACACATTACCTGGTAGAGATAAAAATGCATGAGTGTGGCTCTGCCTGCACCTGCTACTAGAGGAGGAAGAGGAGGAGGAGGGGCGAGCTGCACAGCAAAGCACGTCCTGACAATCAGCTGTGTGTCTCTTTTGCTTTTCAAAGAAAATATTAATCTTTTATGTGGAGGGGGAAATCCAATTGGTTTGGCCGTACATATAAATTACATACGCAGGAAATGTGGGTAGATGGATAGATGGATAGAGAGATAGAGAGAGAGAGAGAGAGATAGATAGATAGATAGAGTGATAGAGAGATAGATAGATAGATAGATAGATAGATGGGGGACAGGGAGAGAGAGTGTGCAGTAGTGTTAAATAAAAGGGCCACAGGCAGGGGCTGGATGGTAATGAAGAGGGGTGGGCCAGCAGCTGAGGTCCCTGTAGATGAGATCTCTCCCTGACATGTGTGTCCCCTTCATTACCCATTAAGGGGGGCACAGTGATGAATCCTTAATATGACATTACACCAATTTTCCTCTTCATTTAGCCTGCTAATGTGCTGGTCTGCTCCTATATGCCCAGGGGCTGCCTGTACCAGACTCAACCAGAAATAGACCACAGTGGCCACTGGTGGCACACCTTGAAGCAGCCTAATTAGGGGCAGCGCCCACCTAATGGGGTTATCTAGACGGGAGTTTGCATAAGTTGACTTTTTTAGCAGGTGGACACTGATGACTGGATGGCGTGCATGGCTTCCACTCTGCTGACCCCCCCCACACCCAAAAGAAAGAGAGAAAAAAAACTGCACAGCTACATTTTACAGTTGTCATTTTCCAAATGCAGGTTTGATATGATGTCATTGTTTTCAGGACAGTGATGAAATACATCCTGATTTGCTGAAATAGTCATAGGAAAGGCAAAATGCATTGTGGGAGGTGTATTTTTTCAGCAATCTTAGCCTGCATAGATACGTTTTAGTCAACGATGGCTGACACTCTAAGCGAGGCTGGTCACAATGAAGCAGAGTACAGCAGTGTTTCATTTATGAAACAACTATGAAAAGAGATTCAGACCCAGACGATGTTCCTGCTGACCAAGGCTCAGTTGGTAAGAGACATGTTTAAGATCCAGGTTCATGCAAAAGGCACTGATTTACAATTACAGCCACGTTTAAGCTTTCAAATGATTTTTAAACATTTGCTATTCTGATCTTTAGAAAACCCTCAGTTTTTAGGATTTCAAACAATACTTAAGTTTTAGAGTGTGTTTTTATTCGGCACCTTAGGTCTTGGGTTTAACTAAAAAAAAAAATTTTTTTATTCACAGTTTCAAACTGATGTATTTAATACTTGTTTGGGTACATGAGTTTGTGTTATTGTGTGTGTGGATGTGTGTTTGACTCACTCAGCATGCCCATCCCCAGCATGAAGGCATCCATGGTGTAGGGCAGACCCCTGGCTCGCCCTCGTGTACCTGGTGGGAACATCACCTCCTTGGGCTGGGCCTTCTTACATTCTACCTATGTAGACAGACAAACACACACATATGCACATGTACAAACACAAACACACACACACAGACAAACCATTAGACTGTGTAGGTACACAACCAGACAGTTCTGACAGGGCTGTCTCAGCTCTTTAAGGTGGTTTTCTATTTGACTTGCACAGCTAGATGTTTTCCATAGAGAAAAACAAGACTGAGTCAATCCGAGCACCTCACATTTTAGAGGATAGTCTCTGAGGAAAACTTACAATCATGCTCCTCCTGCATTAAAGCAAAGGTTATTGCTCCAGTGAGCATGTGCCCAATGCCTCAGGGAAATACAAGCTAAATACTTTCCAAGAGTTTCTGAGACATCAACATAAGAGGAGCTCTGTACTCCAATGCCATTACCAAAGTCCCACAGTGTGTCAGTATGTCCAGTCACTTTGAAAAAAGCAGATTTTGTTTAATCAAAACAACGAATAATCTCAAAAGCAAGTATTTCTCTTGACAAAATTTGTTCAGTCTTGCCAGGGCTACGTGTTTTAAATCTAACACCGGGAAATAATGTCTTTTGTAACTGACTGTGCTTCTCTTTTCTTTTTTTTTTCTTCAGAGTATTGTGTATTTGTGTGCCTCGGCTGGGCTCAAGTCCCCAGTGTCCCACCATCCAATTCCACCTGCAGCACTCATCTCTCTCCTGCATTTCTTTCTCTCACTCGAGTTCTCACACATACGTGTTTGTTCATTTCCCATCTCGCAAGGCTGACATCTCCTCCTCCTACATAACACATATCAAATGAGGGATGTGACAGGGGCAGATCAGGAGAAGGAGGAAGATGAGAGTCCTATTTACAACGTATCTATCCTATCTCGATGAATTATAGAGAAGCCCGAGCGGCTGACAAGGGTGGCATGGTCCTGCGTCTGTTGGTTGTTCTTTGGTAGGCTGAGTCTGTTCACCATGCTGCACAATCTATTTGCTCCACTGCCTGCTTGGCATCAGGCTGTCCATCTGTTTGTCTGTTTGCCTCCTGGCTCTCGTCTGCTTCTCCCTACTGCCTCCACTTAAGCAGGGTTTTCTCGGCTGCTGCGATTCACATGTCATCCCGCTGCACAAGACGGGCTACTGTGCCAGTGCCGTGTGCACCACAACCAAGGTATACAGCCCGGCATCCATACAAATCGGCAACTCTGACAGGCCAGAGGTGAACATTGCTATGCACACACAATTCATTTTTGCACACATCCATACGTACACAAAGGCAGACACAACATGCTTTTGCCAGTTGCCAAAGTGAAAACGTCACATAACTTGAAGTACAATATGTTGCTGTGCTAAACAAAAAGCGTAACAAGTTCTCTATGTCCAGCAGAGGGGTAGGAATGTAAAAAGGGAAGACTAATGAAAAAGGTTTCCATCACAGAGGGAAAGTTGCTGCGTTGCACAGCTGTGATTTGTTGCTGTTAGCAGCTCTTTCGTTTGAACCAGACGTACTAAAGTACACAGTTCCCTCAGCCACTTTGTAGCTGTCACAGCTACTCTGCCCTCCTTGCTAGCCTGGCACAGTTTGACATTGTACTGAGGAGAGCACAGGCGCTCTTATTGTCAGAGAATGACCCCCCCGGCATGGAAGTAGCAACTGGGTGGGGGAAAAAATGGGTCTGTTAGAAATCTAAGCACACTGCTGGGATTTTCACGTTCACATAGCTGGGTGACAAATGCAACCCCAGCACTGCCCAAACCACAGACATGACAGTGTCTGATCAGCGTCCTCCAGTAGCCCCTGCCACATATAGTGAGTTGGACGCTCAGGTGGCCTGCTGGGAATAAGACAGACCTGGTGTGAGTCATGTCTACATGCTCTCAGATGTGGGTCTTTGATATTCAGAAAGAGGGCTCCTTGTCATGGTTTTAAAACCAGCCAGGAGCCGGGATCTGCAGTGGAGTGACTGTGTGGGTGTTCACCTGCTTCAAACACACAGGACTGTGTGAGGGAAGCAGGAAGGAGCTTTCGAGAGGGAACTAAGTCAAAGAACAAGAAAGGGAGAGGACAGCAAGACAATCTCTTTTTGACAATGAAACACTGGAAAAGCGCAGCGGTCGTGAGCACAGGGATTCAAATTTTGCCACGTGAAGGATTTTGCAGATTGAAACTTCTTCCACATGAAGTGAGGAAAAACACTACATTTACACCCACTCATTTTAACTTGAGGTATCAGTCTGAACTATGGCTTGTGCTACTTGTCAAGGACTTTAAATGCATTGAAGGAAGCACAGAATTGTGTTGGCAAAAGTGTGATTCATGATCCACCATTTAGGTGTCATGAATGAGGGTATTGAATGAGAGCACCATTGTGCCTTGCCAGGAAAGTTTAATTGTTTCTTTAAAAAAAAAACACCCATGACATCACATAAAACAGGGTTCCCCCCATAGCAGTACAAAAAAAATTATAAATGATAAATAAAGCCAACAAAATTAGAAAAAAAGGCAAATATCCATTAATCTGGGAATAAATACTGACAAATAATAATACATTTTATTCACATAGTGCTTTTAACAAAAAATAGAAAGCAGCTAAAGAATGACTATAAATATAAAATACACATCATGATCATATATTGAAATATAAGATAAATGTGACAATCAAACATGAATATATGTAATGATCATTTGCATGTGTGCAGTGCCAACATGGAAATCAACCTCTCTGTATTTATCTAGCAAGATACATTTCAAGGTTTCAGACTAATTACCTTTTTTTGTCCTGCAATTTGTCCTGCTAAAGTTTCATAGTGAAGCTATATTATATAGCTATACACTCATAATGTAATAAGATGCATTGTTTCATGTGTGCAGCGTCCTTTGCCCTGCTCTCTATTCCTCACCCTCTCCCTCTGCTTACTCTCCTGCTCTCTCCCTCAAGGTCTCTCCATACCTATCTAAAGCACCGGGAGAAATCCCTCCACCGCTGGTGGGCCGTCGAAGCCGCCAGCAAGTTTTTGCGTTCTCACAAGCAGGCAGACCTCATCACAGTTTTTGCTGTAGGTGACCACGTTCTTGCGAGGGAAATCTCTTCTTTCATTCATCCTCTGTGTACCCATCACTCGGGCTCTGTTGCACATGGAAGCTAACAGCGTGCACTCACATGGGCGTTTACCCCCACGCCTCCATCCCCACCCCCGCTGCCCCCGATGTAGATTAAATCTACTTGTGTAGGGAAACATTGAAGCAGCCAGAAACCCAGACCGAGATGTTCCTGTGAGTCACCTGAAGACCTGTGCTGCCAAATCTCCCCCCCACATGGTTGAGGAGGCACTTCTGAATGAATGGCTTTCATTTAAAGAACATGAAAACTGTTCAAAGGAACAAGCTACAAGGAGAGCGCTCGGCAGCCTGCATGAAGATTTCAACAAATGGGCTTCCTGTGGCAAAATTTCCATATCATGATGCCATGGCAAAATTTTTCTCCAAGCCAAGGAAGATAAAGTGCAGCAATGAATCCTGCTCACTGTGTTTATGATGTACTTTTTTTTGCAAAAGCTGTAGGTAACAGCTTATTTTCATGCACTAAAATATCTCTGTAGTTGTTTTTTGCTCACCACTTTTTAGTTTCTGAGAGCCACATGTTTTTTAGCTCTATGCGCCTCGTACACACATATACAGTTTGCAGGACAGTTTGTTGAAGTGAATGTCTGCCACACAGTGTTAACCATGTATGGTTATCTCCGCCGCTGAGCTTTCAACATTTATCAAGACGCACTGATAACCTGCAGCAGATAGCTTATCTTTGAGATTTGTGTCATTGAGTCGAAAACAGGAGACCAAGCAGTACAGCCTGTACACTAAAAGAGTTTAAATAAAACGTTTCAATCATTTTAAATATTGTTTGTGATTGCTTCAAGGAAGACATTCCTGAGCAGATTTATCAGAACAACTGGGAGCTCTTTGCTGAATGTCTAAATGATCAAAGCAGTGACTCCACCGTGCAACAGACAACTGTCCAGGATCCTGGATCTCATTCAAGAAGAAACGGTCGCCTTGAAACATAATGTCTCTGGCAACTAGCTGTCGTCATCGCAGAGGCATTTAGAATGGGAGAAAGTAAGTGGATATCAGTGGAGTTTAACATTGTTACGTGAGGGGAACAAAAGATGTCACTAAAATATGGCACAAGCTAATTCTGTCCTTGGATAGGCTCTTAAATTTGGGTTAAAACAAATGAACAAATTTATATATATAAAAAATAGGCAGGAAATCAATCTATCTAAAAAATGAATGTCATTGCCAAATGTTAATAACATTTAATATTATTTATTTTATATTAAATATTTGTTTTATGTTTGGTTATAAAAAAATATATTTTTTGTCCTAATGATTTAAAGGTTCAGTGTGTAGAATTAAGTGACATCTAGAGGTGAAGTTGCATGTTGCAGCTGAATACTCCTCACCTCACCCTCCCCTTCCAAACATGAAAGAGAACCTGTGGTGAACTTCATAACTCAAAAGGTTTTAGTTTGTCCAGTTTGGACTACAGAAAAAAACATGGCGGCCTCCACAGTGAGGACGCCATCGGCCAATATAAAGTTTTAAATATGAAGGGTCCATTCTACGGTTAAGAAAACAACAATTCATACAATTTAGATGAAACACACCAGTGAAAACTGTTGCAGCATCTCTTCATCACTACTTAATCAGTGTAGTAAAACAGCTCACTGATGAAGAATTAACAAACAGCGTTTTTTCTTATTTATGTACAAACCCTCTGATACACTGCAGTGAAGCGCTCCAGTTATGACCTTTTCAATACATCTCCCATACATATTAACCTTGTAGGTATAACAGGAATGTGTGGGCGGGATGCACTGGCAATGACTGTCCTTCAGGGATGAGTGTGGTGGGTGCAATGTGTGTGTGCGTGTGTGTGTATGTGTGTGTGTGTGGTGTGGGAGGTGTGTACAGCTACTATTAGCCTCGCTAGTGAATGAATTCCATCAGTAGACTGAAGAAAAAGAAACAGTGTGATTCATTT